TAAATAAATCAATAAATCCACTGCTCTCTTGTCTCCTCTGAGGCTGGGAATCTAAATAGTGTTCTGTGCTCGTCTGTGCAGACAAAGACAGAACAGTTAGCATGCTTTGCTCAAACATTCGCCATGGCATTAGAGCTAGTACACCGTTGTCGCTTACGAAATCAAAATGATGGCGCCGTGGTGGAAACTTACAGATTAAGGGGCGGTAATATTATAATGAGATCCCTTTGCGACGTCACTAGGGGAGCGAAATCAGACGCGCTCGTTTTTTCAGAGGCTTGCAGAAAAAGGCTTACCAAAACAAAGTTACTGGGTTAATCTTTTTCACGTTTCCTTGGTTGGTAGATGCACCGGGGACCTGATTATAGCACTTAAAACCTGGAAAAGTCAGACTTTCATGATATGTCACCTTTAAAACAACATCTTTCATCATTTCAAGTGAAGTGACCCAGCATTTACAGACGGCATTGCAGGGCTCGCAAAATTTCAAAATCCCTGGTAGCCCTTCAGGTAGGCATTCTTCAGATTTTGGTGGCCCGAAATGAATTTACCTAGCATATAAATTTACTTAAGCATATAAATATATTATAAGTTTGTCTTAATTGTTTAGATATTTAGAAGGCACATTCTTTCACATTTACAACTCTGTGTGTTTGCTGCGTAAAAACATGGGTCGATATTCGCATCGATCTAAATAGCAGACTTATTGAAAATGCATATTCAGTGCCATAGAAATGTAAACATAGATGCCTCATTAGCGACTGTTTCTATGGGCCGCTATACATAAGCCATCCACCACATTCGAAAGGTCTTGCAGTACTGATTCGGAGAGGAGGAGGGCCTTGGATTAAAAAAGGTTGAGAACCACTGTTTTAAAACTTTTCATGGCCTTAAATGTGATACAACTGTATTGAAGACTTTTTAAGGACCCGCGGGAACCCTGTATTTAAGATTGCGGTGATACATTTTGGTAGCCTGACTGGAAAACACAATAGCCCTGTGATGTTAGGCTAGCGATTTTGTGAGCCCTGAGTATATAAACAAAAAGTCATTAAAAATAACATTGAATTATCAAATAAAATCAGGGTGAAGATATACTGAGAGAAAAGTAAATTTGACACCGAAACAAGATTGAATGACTCCAACTGTTTGACTTTACAGATCATTCTAAAATGACCTATATATGACCTGTCAATGACCAAATATAGCAAACAATTAATATCTGGAATTTTTGTTTTTAATGATCAACATTATTTAAGCAATAAAAAAATAAAATCACAATATGGCTGTTATTTAGAAATGCTATCTATATTCCTCCATATCTAATTTCAAGGCAAAGTCCTATATTTTAACATCTTGCATCTTTAATTCACACCTCGTTCCGTCTGTCCTTTCTCAACAATTGTCTGGATCTCATCTGCTGTTGTTCGTTGCTTCATTTCATGCAGAGTTTTGATGAGAGCTGGGTAGGCTCCACGTAAACCTTGTCTCTGGGACCAAGCCTGCAGAAGTGTGTATTTCTGTTCTTTCACATCGTTTTTGTTGTTAAGCTCATGTTCCTCAATTTCCGTATTTCTCATGCCGCTGCGCCTGGCAACACGTTTCACTGTTTTCCAGTCCAGAACTTCAACAATATCTAGTAGGTAAGAGTCCAGGTCTAAATCTACACAGAAAAAGAAGACAGCACTGATATAAGCTTCTTGTCCTGCTATTACTGTGATCTAATGTCTTTATATTCCAGACACTTTCCATCAATAGGGTACAAAACAAGGCATGCATTTATTTTAATGGTTATTTTAAATAGTTTATTTATCAACAAATAACTGCACAAAGAGGTGCTAATATTACATTATTGGTAACTGAAATTAGTGAATTAACTGAACATGAATTCAACAAATACCTGATGCAAGAAAATTACCATTATAACGTTCTGAAGCCCCCCTGCAATAACCCACCCCTCCACCCCCGGAATTCGATTTTAAACGCGGAAAGCAATCTAAAGCCTGTGCTGCATCCCAATGTGCCTACTTATACTACGCCCTTAAAGTATGTACTCTTTTGGTGAAGTACACACTTTTGAGTGTGTACATTTTTTTAGGTTTCAGACATTTCAATTAATTACTAGCAAAAAAGACATTTGTTAAATACACACTGATGTTTCTGAGTTTGTTAAATTAACAGGTGTCTAAGGAAAGCGGCAATATCCTTTCAATTAAAATCTGACGACGTGTTTTATTCATATAGTACACGTTGTGTAGGTAACTATAAAGCTATACTGTATTATATATTGAATAGCTATATTGAATAGAACTATATTCACGCTAGTCTTCTCTTAGTTCAACAGTGACTTATGCTGATGATACACGTGGCAACTTTTTTTGAGCAATGTTGCTTTGGCACTCAGAGGCGTCATGCCCATTCAAAGCCCATCTCAGATTTCTGAGCCAAGTGGATTTTGAATGCAGCTTCCAAAACACAAAAAAAAAAAAAACTGCCGAATAATATTTTTTATATTTGATACAATCACACCGGTATGGTTAGATCGTTCAGTGCGGCACAGCATCAGCTGCTAAATTCAAATCTGCGTTCGCGCTTTGGCTGGCGCCGAGACACGTTTGTACAGCGCTGCATTATAACCAATCACACACGATGCTGTTGAGCTTATGAATGCAATGGCCAATCAGAGACTTTCAGATGAGTCATCGCTGAAACGCGGTGTTTTGTTCACCTTCTCCCTTACTGAATTATCTGGCGAATTCTCTCATCATAAACAACAAAGTGCAGATGTGCGTACGAACGTAAGTAAGATATTCATTTCACAGTGTAAACAGCTTCAGTGATTATAATGGGAGTTTTTGGAGTGCCTGAACTCTGGCTAGACTGAATAAAAATGTCATTTGATAATGTAAATGTTCTTTAGGCTACTCTGTAAAATGAAAAGTGTTATAATTAGTAACTTACAATATTGTTATTAAATTCACATTAAATGCAAAGTCAGTCATATTAAAAATAGTTTATGGCATGACACTCATATCTGGTACTCAAGTAAAAAGTTGGGTTTTATGTGTAGTTAATAGATTACACTATTAGTCTACTTTGCCCATCACCATTTATTGATAAAATAACAATCTATAAAGGTGCAAAACGCATTTACTTAGGCTACACATATTTGAGAATCATGATATTTCCTGTAGTTAACACGTTTGGAAATATTTCGAAAAAAAGGAAAAAAATAAATAAAACATAAGTCTATATCAGTTATACAGTGCTATTGTGGCTGCTGTGTGTCACATGACAAGCATGATTCACCCCCCCAACGTGCCCCCTCAAAAATCATGAGTGCATGACGCCCCTGCTGGCACTTTCCCATTGAGAATGGGTAACAAATTTCTATCTGGATACTTTAGATCGGTCGTGGGCCCTGTGTATCACCTGGTTGCCTGTTGACGGCAACATTGTTCAAAAAGTTGCCCCGTGTATCATCAGCCTTACTTCTATGTATTTCGGGAGAAATTGCTGAATTTGCGTGATGTTAATCCAAAGACCTGGCGTTGGGACTGCTGATATTTGATTAAAAAAAAACAAAAAAAAAATTTCATGGTAAAATAGTTCTCAGAAGCAAACATACCTGTCAGGTGTACTGCCTACATGGGCGGGGGAAAAACAAGCCAATCCATCAGTCACAAAAGTTTTAAAATGCAAATAAAAAAATTCCACTGTAACACCACAACGGTGCAAATGAATGTTTAGAACAAGAGAATTGACTCACTGGTTCGATCGGTCTGCCCTTAAAATGATACTTGCATTTTCTACATAGCCAAAAGACCACCACACCAACACCAGCCACAAGTATGAGTGACACCAAAACAGCTACAATGACCACTGAAATAAGCAATCATATTAGTCCATTATCTGTAATGTACTTAGTGTTTATACTGCATAAGCCTTAGAGGACACTTTTTCAGTTATTGCTTATACTGTGCGTAGACAGAAGTGCTCTTGGGACACGGGCATTTTAGCATGTACTGAAATCAGTGATAAAGCAGCCCTTGCCTTGCAGATGTACGGGCTCTTTGGCATCATGGCACACAGTGTTGGTGGTTTCTGTACATTTTTCTTTCACTCCATGTTTCTCACACCTGTTGGGTAAACAATAGGTAAACAGAGAGAAGTCTGAATAATAAACTGAAAGCCAATATATAATATATACCGAGTTAGTATAAAAATGCTTAAAATTTCAGATCTTCAAGGAACTGTTAGCAAACCCCTGAGCAGAAACACTCCATGGGGAAAAAAACATTGCATATATTTAGGCCAACTGTACCAGGGTTACAGTTATTTAATATTTCTATGTATTGTTATGTAAAGCACAAGCATTGCTGTTATTTTGTCTATTTTGTCTTTTTGAGAGAGAGAGAGAGAGAGAGAGAGAGAGACTAAAGATAACTTATGTCAAGAACATTTTAATGTTTCCACCAAACTGAGTCTGCATTTTGCATAGATTTCTTATGATTGCAACATAAGAAATGTGCATGCACAGAGCTTTTTACAGTAATCTCCATTCTAACTTTCTAAACACACAGACATCTGTCATTCTTTCCAGAGAGAAAAGGGCATTTGGCTGACTACATACGTGTCACAGGGATAACAGGCCTTGCACAGGTCACCCTTGTCACAGTAATAATTGTCTTTGCACCTGCAGACAGTGTTGGAAGATGACGAACAGTTCAGCATTTTGTCCATGTTTGCTATTGCAAGGAGAGAAAGCAGAAATAAGACTTTTTAAAATTAGTTTTTGCCCATGCTTCCATTTGGGCTTCAAGAAGCACAATACTAGTTTTTGAAAACAGTCCCATCTCTAGCATTAGTTACGTTTTGACTAATATTTTATAAATAACAGTTGACTGTCTACTGCCCATTTGTTAAATTTAATGTTTATAGCATTAAAACAAAACAAAACAAAAAAACACTGATTTGCAGAAAAATCACAATTTAGCTGACAAAACTAACAAGGTTCAGATGTTAAGACCTACCATTGGAATCACAGATTTTACAAGGCTGGCATTTGTCATCATTGTTCGGGTGATCTATATAGGTGCCATGCTCACACCACTCACATTTTGTGTCATTTTTATCTGTGCAGTGACTTAAGAACCGATGACCTGCAGCACACACAAATACACACATTGGTATTTGAGAACATCCTTTGGTTCCAATCTTATCTAAGTGATCCAGAAATAACTCAGATTGCAATTACTTTAAGTTCATCTGATCACAAAACAATATCATATTTCATATTTATTCATTTGTTAGGTAACCATGTAATAAGAGGACTCTACAACCAGAAAAATAAAGCCCAGCTGAATGTAAATCTATTCAAACCCTATGCCTAGACTTTTGATGTAAAATAAGAAACGAAGTCCACCTCGCTAACAATATATACTGCGTATGTGTTTTTATATTAGATCTTACCTGTCTGACAAAGGCAGCAACTTCTTCCCTCGTACTGGTAAGTCCCGTTCTTACAGACGCCGCGTCTCGTGCGCAGGCGCCTGCCTTCTGCCAGTCCTTCAGTTAACATCTGAAACACCGAAAACTGCACTTAACAGATCATATATGAAATTAAAGTTACGCTTTCTTGTTGAAATTCTTTTCAGGCATGCTTTGTCACCCGCAGATGGGTAAACCGACCATAAACCGCTACAGAATGCTAAGCGACGAAACGAAAAGCGAAAGTGAAACTCAACTATTTATAATAAATGTTTAGTACGTTTATACTATTTTTTCTCTAAATTGTATTCAATTCTTTATAAAATAGAAATCAACAAATATAGTAAAAACCAATTCCTTACATTTCTGTATTCCTCAAGGAATGGTTGTCGATGTAGGGCGTTTTAGATATTAGAGTATACAGTAATATATTCAGTAGGCTATACAATTTAATAAGGGTTAAAGGCTTACCGCACACCACAGAAACACGACGAGATGTGGTCGGACATACATGTCTGAAGAGTAATAGGCACAAAGAACAGTTTAGTCGCGTTAAATGCCCAAAACAACCTCGTTACACTATCAACAACATTTAAAGTGGAGAAGGAAATGGAAGTAGGCTGTTATTCGTGAGCTAATTGTTCTTTTGAACCGAATCTTATCAATCGGTCTAATCTAAACCGGTCAATCTGGGTCCAAGCTTTTCACGAGATAATAAAAAAATCACATACTCATTGAACTGAGTATATAATAATTGGTTTTAATGAATAGCATTAATTGTATAGACCTCAAGGAGCACGTGATTTCCTAAATACGGTATGATGTAAACAAATCAAACGAACCAGTTAACTGAAATGAACTGTTCAAAAGAACCGATTCGTGGTAAAAGGGCGGACTTTTCATCAACGCTACTTACACAGCTGTGATAGTCTAGGGAAATTTGTCATAAAGGAATCCCCATTGTTGAGCTTTATTCAGATTCCAGGTCGTTCTTACCGCAAACATTTGTAGACCAAAAATGATCTTTTAAATCTATTAATTTCAAGCATTAGCATCTGGCATTTTTATCAAACAACAGTTAGCCTAATTAAGATGTATCTTTATGAGGCGTTGTACAGCTATTGCACTGGAAATGGTCATGTGATTTACAACAATTGGTTAATTAATTGCCAGCTACAGTTTATTTCTATTTCTCATTCTCTTCTGTTAAACTGTGTGAACCCAGGACATACCAGGGCAATGCACGCCATTTCACAAGTTTCTAGAAAGTTCTTATTCTCCAAACACAGGATCTTGAGACTAGTGGAGCTTTTTTAAGTGCCCGTACTATAAATGTCTCAAAGTTAGCCAGACAATGCTCCTTTCCAGAACTCGGTCAGTGTTCAGTGAACTATATGCAACGACTGATTTATAGGTTTAATTTGATTTAAATGTTAAATACACCGACATCTGCAGGTTAAACAACAGCAGTTTCAGTGAATAGGCTATTATCTTGTCTTCAAAACTATAATTATACTAAAGTATAATGTGAGGTACTGTGGCTTTCCCTAAAACAATGCCTTTAAACTTGTATGGCAGATGAAAATTTGGGTACCTGGTAGCTACTACACAACCTTTTTCAGCATGACCTTGTGTCTGCTGTGGTTGTTCTATGCAGAAACTGCACGCGAGTGAGCGCACGCTCTCTCTGTTTGGGTGTTACCATAATGTTGCATCATCTTTTTTTCTGAAACACACACAGGAAGGTGACACTTATTGGGTGCATGTGGGCAGGTGGGGTTCGGCGAGATGGCCATTTCAGATCAACCCTTTCATACCTGAAGAACGAAAAGAAGTTTCTTAGTAGCCAGGAACTCTGATTTTGAGATAATGTGTGCTTGTGTTCTTACATACCACTGCGGCCACACACACAATCTTTCATAGACTGATGCCTTGTCCAAATACCCACTTGTGGTCTTTGCACTTGACTACCCAAGTGTTCAAGTGAGGATGAAGACCACAAGTGTGTGTTGAACTTTTCATTACCTGATGGGACATATAGTGTTGTAAAAATGCAAGTGTTTACATAGCGTTATTTTTATTTACATTTTAAATACTTTGCATTTTAAAATCAACTTCTAAATGTCTGTTCAGTCAGTAGTCCCTATAACATGACACAATTTAATTTGTGGTGCTTCTAATTAAGTGATAAAAAGCAGTTGCAAATGTTTACAAAATAAGTATCAACACTACTCATCTTTACACCAATAAAACGTGCAACACTTTGTTTTTCTATCAAATTATATGTAATATCTATTTATTATATTAATATCTAACTTACACTGGAAAGGTTTCCGTTACCTCTCACGCGATCTCGGCAAAAAGTCTCACCATTTATTTCCAGAACATGATGCATGATGGGATACACTAAGCCTCGAATAGTGCTCCGGAACGGTATTCGAGATAGTGTGGGTTTAGTGAGCGTTAAGGGCACTGCGCTTTGACGTTTTTAAAGTGGTCATATGATGCAATTTCAATTTTTCCTTTCTCTTTGAACTGTTACAAGCTCTTGGTGCATAAAGAAGATCTGTAAAGTTGCAAAGACTAAAGTCTCAAATCCAAAGAGATATTCTTTATAAAAGTTGAGTCAGCCACGCCTACCTAAAACGGCTCGTTCTAACACACCCCCACATATCTACCTCACTATGTGGGAAGATTTGCATAACGCCGCCCAAATGTTCACGCAAAGAAAGAAGGCGTAACTTTTATTCTCACTGTAGTATTGTTGTTGCCGCCGCCATCTCGTGAAGACGCTGTGTGCTTCGTGACGAAACTACTTTGTTTGGTCTTCCAAAAGAGGACGATATCCGCTTCGTCATGCCTGGAGCTGATCCGTGCTGGTCGCTGAGGGAATACAACAGTATGGTGAGGGGTGTAACATTTCCGTCTCACGCTTGAGGTATTCGGCCAATCACAACGCACTGGTTTGCTGGCCAATCACAGCACACCTCGCTTTTTCAGAACGATTAGCTTTGTAAAAATCGACGCGTTTCAAAAAGGCGGGGCATAGAGGAGAAACAATAATGTACAGTATGTGGAAAATAATGTGTTTTTTAAACCGCATAAACACATTTCATTACACCAAATACACAAAATAATGTTCTTTTTAGCAACATCATATGACCCCTTTAAGACCTGGGACTTAAGTCTTGCGCACTCAAGTGGCCAAGACCGCAAGTGTGGGTATTTGGACAAGGGGTTAGTCCTCCTTTCCGTTCTTTCAATCGCTTTACGTATACGTCGACGTTCCATGTCCATTATTGTGAAACCCGGCTAGGGTTGCCAACCGTTCCGTATAATACGGAATCGTCCCGTATTTAAGGCATCAAAGAAGCGTTCCGTATGAAAGCTATAGCCTACGGAATGCAGTTTGTCCCATATTTGCAAGCAATCAATCCTCTGCCGGCTGCTCCCGCTTCACAGCAAGCGGGTCTCACGCTAACGGCAATTCCCTTTCACTATCCGCGTTTTGATTTTGCCAAACCAGTTTGGGAATGCAAGCAACTTATTGATCATGAGCCAACATCCGACAAGGCCCGACTCTCAGCTGTGTGACCCAGTTTCTGTGATTTTCTTATTGGTTGAGCCCCTGCTGTGCATTATGGGATTTTTTTTTTTTTACTCCTGCTTTGTTACTGGCAGATGGCACCAGAGGACAATATACATATACACTTCTCACTGACAAATATCAATGAGGCTCATACAGTATGAATATGAAAATTAGTACGTTTAAAGCATGGTGTTTTGGTTCTATGGTTCCATTAAAAACTCTTAACATCTATGAAACTTCCATTGTACAAAAATGTTCTTCATAATGGAAAAAGCTATTTAGATTACTAAAATGTTCACTACAATAAGAAAAAATTATTCTTTCAAGAACTGTTGACTTAAAGGTTCTTTGGAAAACCCAAATTGTTCTTATATGGCATCACTGTAAAAAAAAAAAAACTCTTTGGAACCTTTATTTTGATTTGAACAAACATTGAAGCACTAACACAACACAGAACCCTGCAGCAGAGTTTAGATTCAATCCTAATTAAACACACCTGATCCAACTAATCAAGTCCCTCAGGCTTATTTGAAAACTACATGGTATGTGTGTTGGAACAAAACTCTGCAGGGCTCCGGCCCTCCAGGAATTGAGTTTGACACCCCTGTCTTACACAAAACCAATCTAGCACTGCTGTAGGCCATACAACTGACACATTCATTGATTTCTCACCCCTTTACTAATATGTAGCAATACAGTGACATGGAAACCACAAAAGTCTCGACTTAGTCAGCTTTCTGTCACCTTTCTTCTGTCATTGTCAGCTACAGAAATGGAGAACTATCAGATGAAGCTTTTTCCTACATGACAATCATTGCTAGTTAGAGAAAACTGAAGGGGAAAAAAAGACATTCTGGGGTCTAGTATTTGCATTAGAAATCCTAATTTGCAGTATTATCGGTCCTGCAATTAGTTGTTTAATGACAACCTATTTACTATGCAGCCATAATAACTCAATAAATTCCAGCTTTTATGCTTTGTGTGTCTTCATGATCAGTTCTCTTTAGCTATAGGCTCCTATAGAGGTTTTTGTGGCCTTAAATACGTATAAGCTGGGAATGACTGCACATTCACACGTTATCTTTATCCCTGTGTGTTTGTCATTGGGTATTAGTGTGTGTGTGTTTATATCATGACGTGTTAATGTGTCACATCAACAAAGTCTGAGAAGTTTTCTGAGGTTTTCATAATCTGGGGTCGACTCGAAGCCATTTCAAACCTCTTTATGATCGCCTTTGCGCACATATGAGATGTGTGACAGTAAGCCGGGTTCATGGAGAGGACACACTCCTCTGCGCTGATATGAGAAGTGTTGGTGTCTGTTATCTGAGCCCCATATTAATTTGGCTGTGACGGATGTTAGCCTGGCCTAGCGTAGCCGATCGTCTCTGGGGAAAACACGCCATAATCCTGTAATCCTTTCCTCTTGGGATTCTGTCTAATCAAGCGCTCTTTAAAATGAAATAGCACACACACACACACTCTGAATACTAACACCCATACATTGCAAATTCTTGTCAATCGGTATCTGCCACAGCTCTTCTGTAAGTACAGAGCTCAGTTTTTCTCTTAGGGACTTCAAGGTATCAGTTCGGTGTCTACATTTATAAAGGTAACCTACTTGATTTAATCATAGAAACTTGAAGAGGCGGTGTTTATTTATTGACACTGGAGCAAGTGTGCTGTCCACAAACAGACAACCATAATGTTTGAACATGACAGACCTTACAGGATTATTTCTGATTCAACACATTAAGCTCGACAGCACTTGTGGCGTAATGTTGCTTACCACTAAAAATAATTCCCACTTGTCCATCCTTTTCTTTATTAAAAAGGCAAAAATTTGGGTTACTTACAGTGAGGTACTTACAGTGAAAGTGAATGAGGCCAATAAGTAAATGTTAAAATACTAAATGTTTCAATAGTATAGGCACAAGGCATAACATCAGTGTTTACTCGCAGAACATACATTCAAATGATTATGGAAAGATTATGGAAAAAGAAAAGAAAAATGGAAAAAAATTCTCTCCAAAGAGAAA